GGTTTACCACAGTCACGTGCGTGTTCATGCTGATTCTGTTTGAAATTATACAGTGCTGTCCATATAAGCTTATCTGTAGAAGAACTAACAGCCTCGGCTCCGTGACAAGTCAAAAAATAAAAACAATTCGGTTAAAATCATGATTCATTCTTTAGTGCTTTGCCCACGTCATCAAAGAACTCTAATCTTACTAGTTTGAGGCTTAGGTGTTTGTGAAGATGCGATACCTTCATCCCTGGACAGGCTGAGCCTAAGAAATATATTCATTCGGAAGGCTTAACGGTTTATAAAATGGCGAAAAATTAAGCTCGTTTTTTGATTTATTACCCCATGGTTTGTAAAATATAATACTGTACCAAATGTTAAGAAGACAAGTTGGCTCAGAAAATCCATTTGAGACAAAAGTACAAAGCCCTATAACCCGAGGGTCTTTCTTTATCAGGGAGTCCTGGCATGGCTTGGTGATTAGGGCGCTCGATTCATAACCTGCGAGTCGGAGGTTCGAATTCCGTTACCAAACATGCTCATCCTTTCAGTTGTGGGGACGTTATAATGAGACGGGCAGTCCCAATATTCGTTGATAATAGAGTAGCCCAAGACTTGCCAGTGGGTGATAGTGAATAGCTACCTTCTCTCTTCTCTATCACCGCTAAATTATGGACGGCTAGCGCAGATAGCCCTCGAGTAGCTTTGCGCGAACTTCCAAACAAACGAAGCTAACTCTTCATCAGGGTCCACTTTTCGAAAACACTCGGGTTATAGAGTTTTGTATTTTTGTCTTAAATTGTGAATTATTTTACTCTATAATGTGCTGTTTGTCAAAGTTGAGGTGTTCATTCTACATTATAACTCTAACTCGCTAATGAATTACTTCTTGAAATGTAACGTATTCTGAGGTGTTAACAGGATCCTTACTGGATTCACACTTATAAAACGAAAATAAAATATTTATCCAGTGCACAAAAAAGGCTTTCTTTGAACTTGTTTTTATTTTTAATTCAGGGTATCCCTTTAATTACTTTCCCACACGGATAGTTCAGTGAGGTTACGAAAACTGTGACTGTTAATTATAAAGGGCGTTCTTAAACCTACTAAGACTGATAGATTGTTTAACAGAACAGTGTTGAAACACCATGATCTGGGGTTACAACTACTGGACCCGGTTCTAATTCATCATCCTTCAGCGTTATTAAGACACACATGTAACATTGTACCAGAGTTGTGACCTCATTAATTTGTAGCTTACCGTATGGACTCCTTATGAAACGTGCACTGTAAACGGTTGGGTCCTCGTCAAATTGTACTTCATAACTAGAGTGTTTCTCTTATGAAATATATTGTTGACATTTGGTGGTTTAGCTCCAAAGCAAATAAAATATCTCGCATTGATAACTACTGCTGTGGGTGAAAGTTTCAGGTAGGGAGAAATATATTAGTATTAGAAATGACCTTGGAATTATATATTTTAACAAACCCGATGCGCACTTTTGATCTTTACATAATTTGTCTTAAGTTGTTTTCTGTTATCACCAAATGTTGTAAACTGTTATAATCATTATCTTTAATGACAGTTCGGAACAATCAAACGAGGATTATCTTTAGTCAGTGTTTGTAATAACCAAACTAAGATTATCTTTAATAAGTGTTTGTAAAAACCAAACTAAGATTATCTTTAATCGGTGTTTGTAACATCCAAACGAGGATTATCTTTAATCGGTGTTTGTAACATCCAAACGAGGATTATCTTCAATCGGTGTTTGTAACAACCAAACGAGGATTATCATTAATCGGTGTTTGTAATAACCAAACGAGGATTATCTTTAGTCAGTGTTTGTAACAACCAAACGAGGATTATCTTTAATCGGTGTTTGTAACAACCAAACGACGATTATAATGTTACAAACACCGATTAAAGCCATCTGCTTTATAACTATCTATTATCTAGAAAAATGTTCCTGTGTGTTAAATATAGTTGAATACGTTATAATGAAAATCTTATGATTCCATTAAATTTCGACAGCAGAAGGTCTTATCAAATGTTATATTGCACTATAGTGTTTTGTATAACGTATTAACGAGAGTATGCGGAAGTAAAAATACATACGGGTAACAAATGAGTTTTTCTTTTTCTTTCTCGGAACAACGTATTGCACCATATTACCTTATCTTCCAAACCGCTCCCACTCCATTGGCTCAGCGGTACGTTTGAGGGTTTAAACGCTAAAAACTTAGGTTTTTATAACCGTGGTGGACGTAGCGCAGATAGCCTAGTGTGTAGCTTTGTGCTTAAACCCCAAACAAACAAATTCTCCAAATGATTAACATCTATTCATTAAGTAAAATTGCTTCGCTCACGAATTAAATGTTTTTGTTATGATCGAATATAATCTTGTTGTTGTTTTTTTTTGTAAAATTAATCACAATGTTTGGGTAAATTTGTTTATTGAATATGAATTGAACGTTAGAAACATCAACGGAAAAAGAATAACAGAAGTGGATATGAATTTCGGCGTTTCTAATTTTAGTATTATTGTTATATAGTATATTATAGTAGGTATTGCCATCTATTGCTAATAAGTTAAACTACATTTCCTCGAAACAACGCTTACCCAAAATGTTACAAGTATTTTCGTAATTAAATTGATAATGTTTTAAATTGTTTAATATTTTATTATTTGAAAAGTCAGTATATATGTAAATTCACTACAGTGCTTTATGTATATTAAACAGTACTGGTAAGATTTTACTACTTTTTCATTTAATGTATCACATATTTGTTAAATTGAACTAGTGTATTTGTTCTGAGTACTTAATAGTTAAAATAATAAACAACATATGACGTTAAAATCGATACACAAAAACATTTCTAAAATGTGGACTCCACATATTTCGACATGAAGATACATGATAAACGTCGAAACATACAGAGTCCTTCATAATAAAGGAGATACACAAAAACATTTCTAAAATGTGGACTCCACATATTTCGACATGAAGATACATGGTAAACGTCGAAACATACAGAGTCCTTCATAATAAAGGAGATACACAAAAACATTTCTGAAATGTGGACTCCACATGTTTCGAAATGAAGATACATGGTAAACGTCGAAACATACAGAGTCCTTCATAATAAAGGAGATACACAAAAACATTTCTGAAATGTGGACTCCACATGTTTCGACATGAAGATACATG